TCTCTCTCTCTCTCTCTCTCTCTCTCTCTCTCTCTCTCTCTCTCTCTCTCTGTTATTTATTGGAACTATTATCGGGTCTTCCAACATTTCCACCTCCGAGATAAGCCGGGGAAACGTTGTTAGTTGTCGACAAACTAACTGGCGCCCAGATCATCGTTATATTTCGTCGATTAATTAAGTGGAACTAACCCTTGAGCCCTGACAGCCCTTGACCCAGGTCGCGTCAGGTGTAGGCCTCAAATTAATCGAGTATTTCTGATTGTGTTATTAGCTTCAGTCGAGTATTATTTATGTTGTCGAAAATTTATTCTTGAACAAACAGGCCTGTCTCAATATAGTCCAAATTGCGGATTCCGAGAACATTGCAAAACATTTTCGCTATCTATAAGTGACTGAGCAAGTCACTGACTGAAAAAATTGCCTTAAATTTAAAAAAAAAAACATTTTTTTACGCTATTTCATAAATTTTATGTAAATAATTGAATACCCACTGAGACGATTGTAGTCACAATCTGATCAGCCCTAAGTAACATGAAGACGTATCGATTATACGAAATGAACAAATGGAATTATACCATTGATCCATGAGAAATGGCAGAATAAATTGAATGTCTGGGAACAAAGCCGTAATGCATCATTTCCCTTGTGAAAATATAACGACCAACCTCTATTTTCCTGCCTCACTAGAGGCAATATCGCGTAAATGCATTCAAAACCACGAATTTCTGTCCAACACATCATCTCCTGCTACATGAAATCTCTTTGACCCAGTATACAACGTGCAACACGACTGAGCAGACCGGGGTCAGAGTCTTTCTTTCACCAATTCCTTTTAAATGCAACAAAAAAAAACGGTGGCAATTGTTTTCTTTGCTGAACTATCCCGTTCCACAGACCTGCCATTTGCCTGGTCTCGTAGGAGTGGCCGGCCCAACGAAAATACATTCAGCAGGCGAATGAATATCTCTTCTCGCTTCTTGGAAAAACGACATCTAAAAGGTCGAGAGAGGTGGAAACCCTTCTCAACTCCATTTCAGAGGTTCAGTCTTCGTGAATCCTCATTGGGGAACTTCGGAAACTATTCTGGGGCTCAAACAATGACAGGAGTAACAGAAAATTTCATTACCTTTTAAAGATATCTATTGATATTTCAATTTAATTTATACTAAGCGACAGGATAGTATTCAGAGTATTCTATTCGCAGCATGTAAGAAAGCGATGTGAAAATGATTGTCTTTTATAGTCCTACTATATTCATGTGATGTTATATCTTGTTTTGATCATAATTTGAGTAGTTGGACTATGACGGTTAATAACATCATAATTTGGTCATGTGACGGTCATTAGACGTGTCACTGATGTGTTACAAAATTTTTGCACATCCTTCGTTAGATAATCAGTATGAATTTCAATGAAATAAGTAAAGTAGTTTTCTATGCACAGAAAAAAAATAAAAACAATGAAATATTTCCAGTATTTCAAACCATGAACAGGAATGCTTTATTACCTTGATCAGCACATTTTTATCATCATATAACTTGACTGAAGGCTCTAGGGCAATGGCCTGTTGTGAGTTTTGGCATAGATTGACGACGAATTTCGTTAAAAAATAAGTAATAGGATTGGAAATTATATTTACGATTTACATTTATAATTCTAATCATTTGCACTCAGAGATTTAGTAAATTGCCTCTTACAATATAAACAAAAGATCGAAGTTTGAACACGACTGCTAGGGGAAATTCTCGACGCCCTGATGAATCATTTTTTCTATAATGCAATTTAGAAACACTTATTCCACAGAAGGGATTTCATCAGATACGGAGAAAATAATAGTATACTTCGTCATTAGGCCGAAAAAAACTTTTCAGGCGAATATGAGTTTGCAGCTGAAGGTGAGTGAAAGGCATTTAAAAAAAATATTATTCGTCATACGGCCTAAAAAAACTTTTTCCGTACTGATCTTCACTATTCTTCATCCGGGGATTGGTATTGACCCTTCCCCAAACTCGTAAAACTGAAAATCACTATGGAAAACTATCTTTCACGCCTAGTGCCATGGGGTTTTATTAGTGGCGCGATTGTCCAGTCCTTGTCTTCGGCTCGGATGCTAACTCCACGCGAGTAAGAAACCCCATGGCACTCGCCCTGAAATATACTATTCTAGTTCATATTCGCCAGAAAATTTGTTTGCGGCCTAATGACGAAATATACTAAAACATTACTATGTTACGTAAAATGTCCTATAACGCATAATGAAATTCATCTAAATAATTAAATATCATCAAGGAATGAAACACGAGTAGAACAATATTAGACACAGAAATATAATTAATTCAGGAACGAGATATTTCTTGTAATGGAAATCAACCAAAAGAGAAATTATGTTTTTGAATGAAATATGTGATTTATTCAGAGAGCTCCTAATAAAGCGTCCATTAGAACTTAAGTTAAATTTCCAGTTGTAATCTGATTCATTACGAATGGAGCAGTGAGCCTTAGCTTCTGATTTTGTGTCAGTAAAATTTATTATGAATTTATGAATATTGCTTGAGATAAAGTATATGGATCATCGACTCCAGTAAGAATAGTAATAAATTTGTGAATGTAAATTCTATTCGCGACTGTGAGGGAATAATTTGTTTTTAAAAAGACTTTGCTAATGATGAGGTGAATAAAATAAATCAATTTATTAAATTAATCCAAAATCATTAATAAAACTGGTCATTTTCTTTAAAAAAAATTATTTTGTTGTCCCCGAAAACAAATTCTCTCGAATCTGTACTCGTCCTTTCAATTGGTGACTCTGTATTCTACATAAGATTAATAATTCTGTTGCGTTTATAAGAGACAAGATCTATGCGCGCGCTCTCGCGCGTGCTGATCTATTCATTTGTTGAAATTAAGAAATGGAATTCATTGAATTTCATTTTTTCACGAATACCTTATAAATATTGATATTATTATTTATTTGCCTGTCACACAGGGGATGCCCCTTCAGTGGTAATACAAATGTGAACAATTTTACAAGAGACTTAAAACTATGATTGGCAGTCAGTTGGTGGCAACAACAATAAATAAATAAATAAATACATCGTAACAGGTCCCCGTCGGAAATAACTATCAAATAAACATACTAATCAGCTGGAGCAGAGAGCAGAAACTTAGTGATCAGTTGATCAGGGTTGAATGCGTGTGGCAATCGAACAATAAGAAAATCCTCTCTAAGACTAAGAGCACTCGAAAGAAAATAGAACAGAGCTCTGGTGCAAGCTTTACCATGAGAGTCAACAAAGGCAAGAAAATCATTTGGCGAGCGAGAAGGAATATTGGGAAAAATGAATTTAGTACGTGGTACATTGGAAAAGGGGCATGAAACTAAAAAGTGTTGAATAGATTCTCTGAAACCAGTGTCACAACATTTACAAACTTCGAGAAGGTTCAATTTGTAAATAACTCCATTGATGAAAAATCTACAATTGTAGGGAGAAGCTAATCTCAACTGAGCTTTTACTCTCAACATGGCAATGGGTCATCTGCGACTAAGATAAGAGCTGGCATGTGAACTGAGTCCCCTGACAATTGGAATTTTGTGAGAGAGAGCCGCCCATTCCGCCAAGTCTCTCTCGAGAAGCAAATCCCTATATTTATTCAACATGGAGTGTTTTTCGCGGATCCACGCATGTGCCTCAAAATTACTCCAGAGCTCTTCCTGCTCGACAAGATAAAGAAACTCTTTCATTCTGATCGTCCAATTGTACTTACGGAATTTAAGAGGGTCTTTGAGGAGGATTAGAATTGAGGGCATAATCCATCAGCTGCTTATAACAAATTTTCGGTAACCTTTCCTCCGATATTTTTAAGATCTTAATTATGAAGTTGATGGTGATATTCATAACAGCATGTTCAACTCTGACCAGGCCCAACTCGAGTCTTACGGCACAATTAGCAGTACACTTGGGCAATTGTAATAATCTCTTAAAAAACGCAGTTTGTGCAGATTCAATGAAATCAAAGTAATCGAGTGCTCAGACGGGACACGCATAGAGAAGGGTCGGCTTGGATATGGATTCAAACAACTTCAACATACAAGACCAGGAGTCACATTTACCACCAGAGCGAAGGCTTAATACTGTGCTGTTGGCTTGCTTAGCTTTACAAACCGCCTCTCGAGCCGCGAGAGAACCCAGGGACGAGCTACTGAAAAGAACACCCAGATACGTATACTTTGAAACAATCTCCAAGGCTTTTCCGTCGTAAAAGAACTTTAAGGAAGGACTTAGCTTACCACCCTCTCTGAATACCATAGCTTTAGTTTTATCAGAATTGACGGTGAGGTCATTCTCGAGGCAGTAACAATGTGAGGCATCTAAAATCTTCTGAAGCATGATCTCGCTTTCAGTCAACACTACTAAGTCGTCCGCATAAAGTAAAAGAAGTACATCATCACGCCCATTAATATTCACTCCCTTGAAGCCCAAATTCCTGAGATATTTTTCCAAATCTGAAATAAAGAGAATAAAAGGCAGAGGGCTCAGCGACTCACCCTGGAGAACACCCTCGGCCACCGGAATCTCATTGGTTAATGAACCCCCAGACTTGACTCTAATTGCGGCACAGTCATAAAGAGATTTTACAATTTTAACAATCTTAGGGCTCAGACCAAGCGAGAGCAGCTTGGACCTGAGTTTCACATGAGGGACCGAATCAAACACCCTCCGAAAATCGACGAACACACTAAAAACTTTTCTAGAACCGAGTCTTAGCTGCAATTGAATTGCACTGGTTAGAACAAAAATCTGATCCAAGCATCCCCTGCCCGGCCTGAACCCAGCCTGACTCGCATCCAGAATCCTCTCCCTGTCAGACCATTTCTGGCTTCTGTCCCTCAGCATCTGGGTGAATAATTTCGTGAGGCAATTACATAGGGCAACTCCTCGGTAATTGAGGGGATCAAGTTTATCACCCTTTTTGTATAGCATGGACAAGGCAGCCGAACCCCATGAGGGAGGAACTCTTTCAGAAACTAGCATTTTATTAAAAAGTGTCTCGAAATAGAGCTGCCAGTTGAAAGGCAAAAATTTTAAAAACTCATTTGAATTTTCATCAGGTCCAGCTGCCTTGCCATACTTTAGTTTAGCGATGTTTACAAGAAGTTCTTCATGAGTGAATGGCGCATCTAATAGAGGATCAGAATGCTGAAGAATCGAGAAAGAGAAGTCAGAGACTACCTTCTCAGGAGTCACGCGACGATAAAACTGATACCATTCGTCTAAGGAGATCACCGGCGGTGAGAAAATAAAAGGTCTCAGTTTTTTAACAGCTAGCCAAAAGTCCTTGACAAAATGAATATCGGCTAGGCAATCAGCAATTCTCTTAGCAAATGATTTTTTTTAAACTTGAGCAGATCAACATATTTTTTCTTCAACTCTACATAATTAACCCCGAATTCACCACAAAAACCAGATTGCTAGAATTTCATCAATTTATTGTCACGCTCTTGCTTCATAAGTTCACATTCAGAATCATACCAATTTTTATTCGAACGACTCGACAAAGACACAATTGTGCCACCAACTTTTTCAACCATTTTAATTCTAGAAGCCACTTCAATAATTGCTTGTTTCAAGTTATTCGACTGCTCATCTATATCAGTACTATTGAAATCAAACTTAATTCTATTAGAAAACAATATAGCATTTGAATAATCATCACACTTCTCGGAGACCCAGATAACCCTAGATGATACAGTGGATCTACCACTCAAATTTAGCTGCTCTGCATTAGGTGCATCAAGCAAAACACTAACAGGAAAATGATCAGAGCGTGTAGTTATCATTGAAACAAAAAAATCCTTAACCAGTGGCAGACATAAATCATTTACCCAAATAACATCAACAATACTTTGGCCTGCAGCAGCTAAATAGGTAATTTTTCCTGGGACATCACTCACCGAGCGACCATTTAGACAATAAAAATTCTTATCACTCATGAATTCTAATAAAAGCTTGCCTCTGGTACATAAATCCAAATTAAATGTTTATCTTAATTTACAAAGATTAACACCATCTAAAAATTCGTCAGGAATAACATCTTCAGCTCCAATGTGAGAATTAAAATTCTCACCTAATACAATAGGAACATCAGGATAAGAATTAGAAAAAGAATCCAATAAAGTGTCGAGCAATTCCAGTGCACACTTAACATTCACTTTGGGAACAAAATAAAAGGTACCAATAATCACAGTTCTCCCATACAGTTCAGATTTAATGAAAATCCAGTTCTCACTACGATGCAAAAGAACAGGCATCCCATGGCTCTTCCTCACAAGCACCACCAGGCTGCCACTGGCCCTCCCCATGGCTGAAACTTTGACAGCAGGAGACCAAACCGGGCAGAAATCCGAGAAACCGAAAGGCAACTGCTTCCACTCATGTTGTAAAAAGGTCTCGGTGAGACCAATCACATCAAAATCCGATGGACATGAGAGATCGGAGAGGTGCATTTTGATATTCTTGACATTACAGAAAGTTATTTTGATTGACCCCCGAACGGGTTGGCCAGGACCTCGAGAGGAGGCCCTAGCCTAAGGAGCCCCTCTTCTGGAAAATGAGGAAAGACGCCATTTTCAGCACTAGGCTTGGCAAGAGGATTTCGAGGAACAAATTTACAAGCCCTCTCATCATAAAACCAAGCCAATCCTTGAATCTTGATCGTATCACGACCCACGATAACTGGATGACCCTTCTCACGTTCAGATCTGGCCAGAGCTCTGAATTTGGCCTGTAAGGCCTTCTCCCTCGGCGTTGAGTCCCCATCAATATAAATTGGTTGAGCCCCTAGCACAGTCCTCTTATTCTTAAAAATTGTAATCTTGTCATTAAACTCACGAAGCTTCACCACAATTAAGTTCTTGTCCTTACCAAGCAATTTAACATCCTCAGAGGGATGAGCACAGAGCTTGAAATTCGAGCTGAGAAAAGTGTCCATATCTTGCTGTGCGGTGGCTGCTTGGACATTTAGTCCCCGAATTATGACATTTTTCTTCTTTAAAGAACGATCTTGCATTTCAATACTCCACTTTAAGTCTTCCATCAACTTCAAAACCCCTGCATCTGCACTGGGATTGTGTGACAAATTTTGTGACACTTTCAGCTCCTCCAACGACTTTTCCAAGGCGTTGATCCTAGAAGTCATATCAGCAGGGGCCTTGTAGACCTCTATCTCAGCTTTGCAATTCAAAATCTCGACCTCTAGGACTGCAAGCTTCTTTGTGGTTAGCGAATCCTTCAACATCCTTATTCTTAGCAATGTCACTCAAAATTTTTTCATTTCTGGTCTTCTTATTCTCTTCCATCCGAGTGAAGAAATTCATGATATCATCATAGGATGAAGGCGATGTCAATTTACTTGCGGAAACCCCTGGGGTAGCGGGGAGTGTAAAGGTGGAGGGCAGGGTTGTAGTAGGTGCAGACTTCTGAACAGGCCCAAGAGAGAAGGCAAAGCCGCTGCAATCACCCAGGGCGGATAAGGTAGACACATTGGGAGAGGTCATGGCGAAAGGAGGCAGAGCAGTTGCACAGGGGGAAGGACGCAGTTTTTTAACCACCGGGTCGGAGAGGATACAGTCGAATTTCAGCTCAGTTTGTATCCATTTACGCTTGGGAGTACTACCCGAGTGGAAATTCTGTTCAGGTCTTGATCAGAAACTGATCAAGTCCGATCCGAAATTCTGATCAGGCGTGTTACGTCTCTGCCTTAGGTTTTTCCACTAGGGTTTCTCCGCCTTCCATCATTAGGCATTAATTAAATTTAATTTTTTGAGAGAAAAAATTAGTTACTTCCTAGCCGGGAATCGAACCCGGGACCTCCCAATGTCGCGTCGGGTGCTCTTACCATCTGACCTACCAGGACACTTACGAATTTCACTCTCAAATTGACTCATACCCAAGTGGAAATTCTGTTCAGGTCTTGATCAGAAACTGATCAAGTCCGATCCGAAATTCTGATCAGGCGTGTTACGCCTCTTCCTTAGGTTTTTCCACTAGGGTAGTAGGAGCAGATTCGCAAGAATCAGTTTTACGAGGAACGTTTTTACTAGGACATTTGGGCTTAGACTTGGACCCAATAGGTCTGCCTCTTTTATTTCAAAATGCACTGTTGTTGTCACCAGTCGGCTGTGGACTGCTAACCGGGGTGACTGACCCTTGAGTAGTGGGCGAAGCGTCGATTAGCTGTATTATCGGCACACCTCGAGAGGATAAACTGGGAGTTGATGACAGAACACCGGGGATATCACAGATGTCACTATGGGTATTAGAATCTTCTGGGCTAAGCATGCCAAGACTCCTCAGTAAGTCATCCATAGGCCAAACTTCACATCACAAACAACCCAAGAGAAAGCACTGATATAGAGTTAATCGGAAAAGAAAGAACCGAAAGTCAATGTTCAGCTGAATCGCTGGAACTCGGCAAGCCAATGCAACTTAACAAAAACCCTGAGAACTTAAAATAGTCAATGAAAACCGAGAAAAACACACGGAACGAAATCACCATCGACTAGACTATCAAGCGCCACCTGGCGAACCATTCAATATAAATATTGATAATGAATCAAAGAAAATTCGACTAATGATTGAAGTGAATAGCGAAGTAGAGGTAAAGAATCTATGAAGAATTTTTCATTTTCAATTAATTATCTTCAATTTTTTAAAATAATCAGTCTGCATAAAAGGACAGAATTTATTAATTTCACCGATGATATATACAAAATAATTTTTTTTTAATAAAATGACCCGTTTTATTAATGATTTTGGATTAATTCATTTAATTGATTTATTTTATTCACCTCATCATTAGCAAAGTCCTTTCAAGTACGAATTATTCCCTTACAGTCACGAATAGAATTTACATTCACAAATTTATCACTATTTTTACTGGAGTCGATGATGCATATACTTTACCTCAAGCAATATTCATAAATTCGTAATAAATTTTACTGCCACAAAATCAGAAGCTAATGCTCACTGCTCCAAAAATATTCAATTCTTTCGATATTTGCTCGAATGATGTTGTAAAGGCTATAAATAAAACAAATCCGAATTGTGAAGACATTTTTATTCAATGATAGAATTGGTGTAAGAGTAAGTGCTGAGAAGCATATCACAGAAGCAATTTATTAGAAAATAGCAAAAAAACAAAGCCTTCAATGAGATAACCACTTAAGAACACTAGTGAAAAATACAAAAAGGTAAAATGTAAGATAGTGAAGAAAAAAAGCATTCTATCATATTAACCATCAAGGTCTACTGCACATTTTTTTCAGTTATATAAAACTTGAATATCACATTTTTACGTAGTTCAGTCTCTCACTATAGTTTTGAACGTAACAACCACATTTTTAAATCTCCTTAAAAAGACATCAACTCTTTAAAATTTTGCTATAAACTATCAACAATCAAGTCAAGCCACTAATAATTTCACGAAACACGCATCGTTCCCTCTGCTGAGAACAAAAAGTCATATAATTGAGTCATACAAATCGGCATCTGTATAAATTTTTGAGTGAAAGAAAATTGAATAAATTATTGTTGGAAAGAATCGACCCATGTTATGTATCCACTGCAGTTTTACAGTTTCATTCGGTGCGAATCTGAACAATTGATGAATTTTTAATTATTAATAAATTCAACATAGAGTCAAGTGCGTATCGATACTTACTTATGGAAAGACAATTCTTTACTTTCAGTGGATGTTTTTCTACAATACTTGCAACGAACCATTTCTGTCATATCTGCAGATACGAGACATAAATTTTCTCACCACCTCACTGGCACTGCAACACTTTCCAAGGATATTTAGGGGTTATGGGAGCAGAAAAATGACACAGTCAAATTACCGTCCCCACTATCCAGCGCTGTGGATGCGCAAGGGTATCGGGATCTCTGTTAGTTCCTCGACCAACAAAGGGTCGCTGGAGGACTATTCGAAACCCCTGGCTTTCAGCATGCTGGGCCCATAAGGATAGTCTATCCAGTTAGTATAGAGATCAGTGCCACCATACCGCTCTACTCCCCTGAGGCAGACGAAACAAAAGACTGCGATCTTTGTTCTGGCGCCATGAGAGAAAGGGGGAGGGAAAAATTATCAATTCCCGCCCAGATTACGGCCTGGATTGTTTGAGGGGTGGAAACCTCGTTTCTCGCGTTTTTGATGAAACAGAATTCTTTGCAAAAAAAAACAAATAATTTTCATCACGGAATGTATCAGGAGGCTACCCCAACTTCCTAAAAATTCACGAACCCCCTTCAATAAGTACTTAGAAGTATTAAGAGGGTAAAAAATTAATTTTTCCCGTTTTCTACGAAAAAAATAATAGTTGCCTCCAAAATATGGTAAAAAACTAAATAATTGTCATCAGAAAATATGTTAGAAGGCTCCCCCAATCTCGAAAGAATCACTGACCCCCTCCGATTTTGACTTAGCGATATTAAAGGGGTAAAAAATTCATTTTTTCCATTTTTCATGAAAAAAATTGTTGCACATAAAACAATGTAAAAAACTAAATAATTGTCATCAAAAAATAGGAGACTCCCCCAACCCCCTCAAGAATCAGTGGCCTGCTGTAATTTTTACTTAGAGGTATTAAAGGGGTAAAAAATTGATTTTTCCCTTTTTTTACTAAAAAGACACACGACAGAAGTGAAACTTCCTGGGTGTATATGAGGATGTATATTTCCTTGTATCGGTTTTTATCGGAAAGTTAATTGAAAAAAGGAATGAAAATGATCCACAACCGACTCAATCAATTTTTTATGTTGGTTTAGTGTCATTTTCAAAAAATAAGTATAGGACGTAGGTATTTGAATAAAAAAAAAGGTAGTTTAGGATTCATTTTTATGGAAATATATTTTTCAAGAATGGGTGATTACATAAAATTTTTTATGGGAATTCCATCAATCAATTCCAATCAGCGATTAATTGGCAAATTTATATGTTCACGAGTCTAGAAGGTTTATTATTAATAGTTGAGTTCTTTTCGAATATGGCGTGTACAAAATTGTGAACTGGATTCTCAAATAATTATTCTGATTTATGGCAACTCTACTGTGATTTTTATGTTTCGATATCCGTATCTGCTTGTTGATTATCGGACTCTATCATTGTTACTATTGGTTTGTGATAACTAAAATAAGACACAAATGTTTGTGACTCGATTTTCTTCAAATTTCGGCTGAATACAGCATCAATCGTCGTACCCGACCTGGTTGTTTAGCTCCCTGGTGGCCATCATGAACGGTGTAACATGTATTTCTTCTTTAAAAACTCTGAAATGTCCGAGATAAATCGCTGGAAATGACAATTCTTCAGCATGTTCATCAAAGAGTAAACTATGAGGCACGTTTTTTTCTCCTGGTGCGATTTGCAAATATTTTTCTTCGTTCCATAGCAATGTTTGTTGTTGAGCAGTGAGGCAGTCTTCAATCGTCATATTTTCACTGATTT